GAACAAATTATGGTTAAATGATGTTTCCATCAGGTTTTTGGGAGGATGTGTGTGTTAAGCGGGGAAAAGTTGCTTAGTTAAGTATATTTCAAAGAAGTAGCCATGGTAGTCTCTTGCCCCTTAAAAAGAAGAAAGGGAGGGGAGGAGGAAAAGGAATATGGCAACAACTTTATTTTTAATTTAGCACGAGCCTTTGTGGATATAAACCCACTTCTTCAGGTGCTGTACAGAGTGATATTGAAGCCACAGGTTATAAAGCATTGTTTACACAGTTATGGGAATGGGATGGAATGTAATAAGATCTAGAAAGATGAACACAACTTACCCTAAACTTTCAAAGGTTTGCAGAAGGTGCTATAGGTCTTTCAGATCTTAACAATGGTCAGTTAGTACTGATGTGTGAAAGCAATAAATCTGCTTACCAAATGTCAGTTTCCTTAGGTTCAAAATTATTTCTGAGAAGATTCCCTTTGTTTCATGTACAGTAGCAAACACTCTTGTATTAATATATGTAATGCACCATGAAGCCATTTTGTCTTTGTTCATACTTCTGTTAATGAACTGGAATTTGTGATTATAATTCAGTCCAGCTGTTTCTCGTTCTACTCTTCCTTTGGAACTTCCTCATTCAAGGACCACAACCTGTAAATCCTTTGCTGTGTGTCCAGGAAGGTTGAAGTGTTCTGCAACTGTTTTTTGGGTAAAGCCATTTCTAATGTCAGATTTGTGTTCATTAATCCTTTTGCATAGATACTTTCCTGTTTGTACAGTGTAGAGGGGCATTGCTGGATGGCATACATCACATTAGAGAAAGAGCAAGGAAATGCACCTCTAATATTGTGGGTGATGTTATTGGCCTCTGTAATATTGCTCTACTACAAGCAATAAACACTACAAGCAATAAAGAAAAGAAGAGAAGAAAAACAAAAGGGATATAGGAACAAACTAAGAATTATGTACAATGGCTTGTGAAAAAAGAAAAAGAAAATTACTACAACGACTAATGTAGAGAAATAGAAGACAGCAACAAAAAGGGAAGAACGAGAGACCTATTCCACAAGAGTTGAGAAATAAAAGGAAAGTTCAAACCAAGGTCTTATGACAATAAAAATAATATAATTCAAGACCAGGAAGGAATAAAAAGAAGTTGGATGCAATATAATGAAGAACTAAACAAAAGAGATAACATGAAGGACACATGGAATGAAAAGCCATATGAAGATGAACCCCAAATTCTAAAAACTAAGATGGAAGCTGCAATAAAAGAAATGGCAAAAAACAAGTCTCTAGGAACTGTTGCAATCCACATTGACAGAATCAACTCTAGTGCTAACCAACATGTCAATAGATATGGAAAACAAAATGATGGCCAACAGATTGGAAAAGATTAATATACATCCCCATCCACAAAAAAGGAGACACAAATGACTACAGCACCAATAGAAACATAGCACTAATCTCCCATGAAAGCAAAATTATGCTCAAAATTCTACAACATAGACTCTGACCATACATATAGAGAGAAATCCCACAGGTCCAAGTGGGATTCAGGAAAGGAAGAGGCACCAGGGATCACATCACAAATATACAATGGCTAATGGAGTGCACCAGGGAATTCCAAAAGAAAATCAGCATGTGCTTTATAGACTATAGCAAAGGCTTTGACTGCATAGATCAGGGGTTGGCAACCTACGGCCCCTGGGCCGGTTCCGGCCCAGATCGCCAGACTTACCGGCCGAGGCGGACCCCTGCCGCTGCCGCCACCATGCATTTTTGCCTCTGTGCAAATCAAAATGGCAGCTGCGACGCGTTTGCGCATGCGCAGTACTCCTGCGCATGTGCAAATGTGTCGCGTCCACCATTTTGAAAATCAAAATGGTGGTCACGACATGCACGGCGGCAGCGGCACACATGGGGGGGTTGCGCGCGCAGGTGAGTGTGCGCACCGCCATTCCCCCCCCCCCCCCC